TAACAATATCGGACGTTTTTATTACCCTAAAGAGAACCGCGGGTGCACCGCGAGAAAGTACACACGCAGAAGCCTTCGAGAGTGGAGGATCGATGCCGTTCTTTGCCTGGACCGTTCGCCCATATAAAATAACTGTGCTGCGTATTCGTTCACACAGCAGGGAGTTCACCAGCCCCAATGAGGGTCTGCTATCCTGGGGACTTTTTCTTTAACGTCCATCACGCAATAGCGATTACACGAACACGCGCCGATACAAAGCTCAAGCAGGTCGAAATGGGCGAATCCCGGAGAAAAGCTCACCGGAGAAAAGCTCACCGGAGAAAAGCTCACCGGAGATAAGCTCACTGGAGAAAAGCTCGCCGAAAAACCGGCGGATGTGGAGAAAAGCTCACCGGCCATTGAACGTATGCGGAAAAAAGCTCACCGATTTTTTTCTTCTAAGTATATGGAAGAAATTCATATTATAATAATATAAATTTATTTTTCTTAAAATTCGTCAGCTTTGTAAGAAAGAAAATCTCACTATTTTGTAATATTTGTTAAGCTTATTGGGTATGCCGCTTCCAAAATAATAATTGCGGGCGAGTGTTTTCTGTGGCTTGCTCTCTAGGCAACGAAAGGCTAATTGAAAACTTTATGAACTTGAAGAACAGGAAATACGTGAAAACTTAATAATGTCTGCCTAAAACCTAAAAATCAATACTGTAAATACCAAATATCCGAAAGTGCATGCGCAACAACGCGGTGCCTGAAATTCTCTATGAAGCTTTTGTTAACCTTTGAAAATAGGATAAAACAGTCAGTAGGATATCGAGGCTTCTTTCTTCCACGGGCATGCACTCTCGTGCTGACGACCTAGACTCTCGTGCTGGCGATCTACACGTTGCCTTTGTGTGATAGTGCCCCTTCTACGGTGAGCCACCCATGACCTTCGGAGCCGCACACTGGCATTGTTGTTACTCGTGACCTATACAAGAAGTAGTCTTCTGTAAGGTAACGAATAGGGCGAGTTGGTAAACGTTATACATGATGAAAACCGTTCAAACGACGACGATTGAGTGAAGACAACAAACACGACAGGACGAAGCTGTTCTCGCAACTAAAGTTTTGTTAGTGAAATTAACAGAAAGAAAACAGCGTAGCCGACACTGATCACATTAACAAACACCTACTTATTTATTAGGCTCTACACAATATTGGGAGCTGAAACGGTTCACCACACCGCTCTTCATATTAGCTCGCAAAGAACAAACCTCTTTATCTGACAGAGCTACCGACGGCGTACTGTCAGCTGTCAATAAATTGCTGTCTTTTTTACCGGTGTACGATGTTCTGATTTTATACTTGTGGCTTTATTTAAATACAGAATGGGTGATTACAAATTTTTGAGGAATTAGTAAATATGCCCAATTAACTTCAAGAATATTACAAAAAAATGGACATATGTTTATTGAAGTGACCAATGCGAGTTGTGTTAAATTGCCAGGTTTGACGCAAAATCCGCTGAGTTAAAAAAAAAAAAAATCGATGAGCTTTTCTTCGCATCCGCTCAAAGGCCGGTGAGCTTTTCTCCGCATCTGCCGGTTTTGCGGTGAGCTTTTCTCCGGTGAGCTTATCTCCGGTGAGCTTTTCTCCGCCGCCCGAAATGGGCAGGGGTGGGGAGTGTTCCCAGAATCTCCGCGGGCTGTGCAGCGCGAGCTTTCGCTCCACGTGTTCCGAACTGCGGTGCCTGAAAACACATTCAGCCGCGCATCCCTCTTTGCGGTCCTACAGCCACACTAAAGAACCGCTCTGCAGTGATCAAACCCGCGGCATTCAATAGACTTGTTGCAAAACGTGCAGCGCCGTCCGCGGTGCCGAAAGGAATGTCGGGGACGCCTTCTTCAGAACTCGTTGTGCATGGGTATAGCAGCAGAGTACGGAGCACGACCTTTCGAGATTTTTTCATTTTGCAAAATATCTATTTTGTGGCTTTTTCTCGACACGTGGATCTGTCTTCCGACCTCGTGAAGGCCACTCGGCGTCCTTGCTCCTAAGGGAGGTCGACCGCCTCGTCTCGAGCGGCGTCTCTTTCTTGACGCCGCGGGAGGACGTTGACGTTTCGGAAGACGCCCGCAGTGGGAGACGCGCCCTCCCTTCAGCCCGCAACTTGGGCACCGACAGCACGCAAGGGGGCACGCACTTTGGAAGCCCCGCCAGACTCAGCCCGTGAGAGGGCGCTGTCACCTCTCCACCAAGCTACATTCGCTTACAGGACAAATTACTCGCAGGGCGTCTCCGCGTATTTTATACGCCTTCTTAACGGTACAATGCGCGACATGAGAGGGTTTTGGTAGATCGTTCCGGTGACTCCGATAACGACACACCTAGCTGTGTTTGGAGATTTATGTTTGTCCTTTGTCCCTCTTGTTCCCCTTCTCCAGGGATTATTTTCGTCATTCTTGTCCAGCTCGCTTGCACCTTTGCATTTAATTGCATTCTAATTACCCGGTACTATACGCCACATTTGCTCATGCATCGCATCGTTATCGGGTATCGTTATCGGGAGTATCGGAGGTATCGCTATCGGAACGATCTACTAAAACTGTTTACTATTAACGCAAACACAACATCGACACTTTTTTTTTTTTTTTTTTTCGGTGTGCTTCTAAGGCGTAATGACGGGCAAAAAGGATTTATTGCTCGAATTGGTCCCCCAGATGATCACTTTCCGCCGCCCTATCATAAGTGGCGAATTCGTGCCCGCGCGAACAGCGTCGCGTACTGTGCGTCGACTCCGTTCCATTTTAAATGTGACGCAAAGAAAACGACTGCGGCATATTGTCTTTGTCCTCTTCTATCTTTATGTTCCATGCAAATATCACTGCTGAAATCATTTTCTCTGACCGGCCCTGCGGGGTCTTCTTTCGGGTACAAAAGCGCTGAAACACCATCCGAGACACTGCGAGCCTCTAAACCTGTTTTGAGGCTGCGGATTTGCACGGAAATCTGTTTGTGTGTAAGGAATCTCCGTGAGCCTAATTATTGTCGGTAATATGTTGTCTCTACCTTTGCTTATTGATCTCTGTCCTTCTTCCAGACGCCCCTCTGCACCTCAACTATGTGAGGTAGCCAATGAAAGCGCCTCCTCCGGCTAGATTCCCTGTGTTTTAAATAAAACTACCTAACAAAGCTGATATATGATATAGGGAAACGCGCTACGTTCACGTCGGACCCGTTAAAGCCTGTTTTATTTTAAGCATGTCTGAACAGCAGGAGAACAGTCGGCTTTACAATTGTGCCTAATATCCCAGCTGCATAAGGGCAATGCGGCCGCTGCGTTCCCTTGTGTTCTTTCTCGAAAAAAAAAAAAAAAGAAAAAACAGTGTACAGAAAAACAAGGTTGTAGTGCTGGATTTTTCGTAGATCAGTGGCGACTTTGAACTCCGCACCCTCCCCCCCCCTTTCCCCGAAAACAATTTCTGGCTACGACACTGCCGTAGATGACTGTATACGAGTTTCATCTGTACGCTGATGCAGTAGTGCGACGGATTTCCGTCAAAGGAGTGCGAAACCGAAAACGGCTAGGTGCCAGCCGCACAACACACTCCATGTTGAAATAAACACTATCCCGTGCAGTCCTTTTATTACTCTGTGCCTCTGTATATCGCCTCCTGCTTCACGGTACTGGCTTATCGTGGGACGGAGGACGATCCAGCCGTCCGTTACAATAATTCTGCACATCGCTGCCGAAATCTCAGGCAGTCAATCACGGCGATCCGTTCGAGATTTCAGGATGGATGCCTCAATAGACGCGTGAAGAGAAGGAGTGTGTGAAATGTCAAGCCACTCGCTCATTCTCAAGTCGGACGCTTGGAAAAGAAAATGCGTATCGCCGTTGACTGGGCTGATTTCTAGGTCGACGATCGAGACAGGATATACGGAGACTAGCTCCGGCGCTCGCTGCTTTCTCAATAAATAATCACCAAACACGGAACACGTGAGAACACTGCGGTCTTGCTTGTTAGTCAAAACTGAGGTCTGGTCACGGGGGTTCACAGACGTCCCGCGAAGAGGACGTCTAATAATAGAAAAGCGCGCTGGCCGAACTTGTCAACCGAAAATCGGCTAAAACAGATCGTCAAAAGCTGATTGTGCTACGTAACTGCGACTGTCTCTCGTGGTTGCTGGTGATGCACCTCCCACCAAAAATTCAATTTCGATTTTCAAAAGGGTGACAGCGTTCCCCTTGGTTGCTGACTGGGAAAACACCACGAAAGGAATACGCAGATACACTAGCTAATAACTCTAATCCAGATATCCTCATTATGTATTTATTCTGCCACAAGGTGCTTTACACAATGAAAAGGCAGTGCACGTGCAGGTGAGCTGGTGGTAGTTAATCATAATGTTTAAAACCCGAGAGTATGGTGAGGGAAAATAAAAAACTTTGAAGTCGAAGAAAAGGCACAGGAGAAGACGTCTTCTCCTGTGCCTTTTTCTTCAACTTCGAACTTTCCTATTTCTTTCCTCACCACATTTTCGGGTTTTAAACATCACGATGCGCTTAACACCTTGCCCATAGACTGTAGCAACTGCTTTTCCCTAATTCCAGTTCCCTTCATCTCCCGATCCTCAGTCTCATTCGCTTTCGCACTTTCTGAATAATTTAGTCTACCTTTTTCTCTTAAACTCTCTCCTTCTCCGTCTCTCCTTCTCCCTCTCTTACACACACACACGCACACACAATTCCTATCTAATTTTCAAACAGAAACCAGTTTAGCACCCCCATCAACCATCTTTTCTCTCCTGTTCCACCTTTCCCTAAACAAAAAACAAAAACGAAGATCCACAGATTTCCCCCATGAGATGTGACAGATCATGACCCCTTTCGTACAATTACTTCCGGTAAAGAAAAAAAAGTCCAGTTAAAACATATTACGAGGAGAGAAACAACTTCGAGGACCTGCCAATCCTCGCTGCAGCGGGAGCCGTAGGGGAAAGCGCCCTCGCGCACGTACCTTGGCGGTCGAGGTCGTGCTCCTTCGTCGCGCCCTGCCCTCCGCCTGGATGGTCCGGGTGCACAGGTCGATGCACTCCGCGAACGACGGGGCCCTCCGGTCGCGGCTGTAGTCCTGGTCGTTAAGCCTCGCGAGGGCCACGATGTAAGCGGCCGCGATCCTCAGGATGGCCAGCTTGGACAGCTTCTGGTTGTCCGCGTACGCCGGCACCGCGCGACGGAGCGCCTCGAAGGCCGCGCTGATGGTGTGCACTCGGGAACGCTCGCGGGCGTTCGCCTCGATGCGACGCTGCCGCGTCATGCCCTTGTAGTTCCGCTGGGCGGGACGGGACACGCCGTCCGCGCTCGAAGTCCGCGGGATGAGCTCCACGTCACTGGCGTCGAAGGGCACCGGGGGCAGCCGAGAGAAGCGCGGGAGCTCCTCCGGGGGCTCGAGAAGGACGTGCGAGGGCCTCTTCTCCGATGGCTTCCTGCAGGCCGCCTTCGGAGCGCCCCGGGCGCCGGACACCGACGCGACGGCGTCCCGACGCGGGTGCAAGTCCGTCCGCGAGGTGAACAGCGCAAGCCCGCCATCGCGGGCGTCGTAGGCGGCCGACGAGCACGGCGGAGGCGCCAGAGCACGCAAGTCGAGGCACTCGTCGTCGGCATCCGCACTGCACGCGACTCCCGAAGACGCCGAGGTCGCCGGCGAGCTGGACGTCGTGGTCAGGTCGAGTCCCAGGTCCTCGTCGGCGGCGGTCGCGAGCTTGCCGGCCGGTGCCTCCCGGATGACCGAGTCTCTCCGGTGGCCTTCTTCGTCCTCTCCGGAGTCGTCGGTGCCCCGATCGGGGCGGCGCCGCGTCGCGCGTCGTCGCCGGGGCTCGCTCGACTTGCGCTTGTTCCGTCGCAGCTGCACGTCGACGCCGCTGTCGTCGCTCGACGAGGCGCTCATGACGGCACCTGCTGCGGGGGAGGCGTGGCGGCGCGCGCCTCGCGTCAGGGCGACCTCGTACCGGGCCCCGCTCGTGCGCTTCCCATGGCGGAGTCCCGTCGACTGGCCGCCGGCCCCGCCGCGAACGGCGGCGCGCCCCGACGGATGAGCGTTGCCAGGCGACGCCTCCCAGCTGCGAGGGAGCCGAGGCGAGGGATCGACGCACAGCTGGCGGGGACACCCGGCGGCGAACGAGGACTCGGGGGATGATGCGGGGACCCGCCGCGAGCTCGGCCGGGCACGTGGAGTGCCCCACGCGCCAGCCCGCTCTCCCCCGGCGGCTGGGACCCCGCGGCTCGCGCGGTCTGCCTCCGCACAGAGCCGTGCCTCCGCAGGGGACGCACTGCCTCGGGGCCTTGGGCTGCTGCCGTCGGGAAGAGCGACGGAGAGGGCTATTTATTCGCTTCGATGCCCGATGGTTGCTCGCTGCTGCCTCCGTGTCGCGGCTCGTGTAACGTCAAAAGGACCATGCGACGTTTTTTTCGTATACTTCGTTTCATCTCATGGTCGGTGACAGGTTGAGAATGCACTATACTCGTATCCACCTGAAGAACCATAATAAAAGAACTCCCTTTCCTCAAGGAGCATGTCTATTTGTGCCCATTATGTAAAGAATTAAGATGTATGTAGGTGTGTTTTAGATTGGCAATATGTCATCTTATCAAGACGCACACAATTCAAAATCCGAAAGCATATTTTCAACCCCGACAGCTTTGACTGCGTATGCGCGGTAAAGCTTCTACTGCACTTTTAACCAGTCACCGATTATACCGTACCATGCTGTCAAAGCTCCTGAATCGCGCTTGTCTCGAGTTAGCGTTTGGTCGGCATGCGCTGTCGTGGAAATGAGACGCTACATGAAGCCACGTCCTCGAATTGGTAACGTTTTAGTTTACAGCACTCTACACCCACTATGAAACGAAACATAAATAAACATCTAAAAAAAACTTCCGTTTTTTTTTGTTTTTTTTTAAAATATATATGGTAACGAGAACAAAAATTTTAAAGTTGCAGCAGGCGTTAGTCACGGGCCTTTGCCGGGTTGGAAAATGGATCAGTCCGGCAATAGACCTGTTCGAAATTATGTGTGCCCCCAGCGTCTGCTTTACGGATTGTGACGTTCAGATGTACGGCACGTGAAATTATCCAAGGAGCTGTTGTGAAATTCGACAATTGTGAGACAATTTTCGTCCGCCCAGTCCGACCGCCGCAGGTGCACGGCCGTGAGCGTCGTCGCCAGGTGGTGCCGGTGAGCTGGACCCGGAAGCAAAGCGAGATGCACCATGGGGTCGCCAACGTGCCCTCGTACAAGGGGACGACGTGGCCTTCTGCGAGGGTTCATCAAGTTGACCGATGCCAGTGTAAACACGGGACGTAATTACCAACCGGCCCCTCGTCGTCCCGACAGCTTTGGGACGCTCCTGGACAAAGGAGGGGGCTCCGCGCCCTTTCCCCAGGTACGAGCGTTTATGGGATTATTTCCCTACCACACGGAAGCCAAGACGCCTGCCATTCGGACTTCCATGGCGCCGTGGGCCGCCGAGATTGACCGGCGACACAGTGACCAAGGACGTCTGGCCCGACGGTGAGCGTGACGGGAGTGGCGGTGTGTGAGGAAAAGAGGTGGGGCATGCCTGGACGTTGGGAATAATGACCCCACTGCTTTGGTCGAGGCATTGACCATGGGGATTCCCTGCTGGCGATATGGGGAAATGCGACTCTGTAAAAGGAGCAGGGCCGAGCGTCTCAGCACGGCTAACGCGTCTCAGCTCGGAGCGTGGAGCGAAAGCTTGCGCTGGGAACCTCCTGGGTTCGATCCCCGCCGCCCCCGCCCGTTTCGATCTGGATGAGTTTCGTACCGGCACGCATTCGTGTAATCACTATTGCGTGATGCACGTTAAAAAACCCAGGTTAGCGGTTGTACTGCACTGGCTAAATTTCTCATCTACAGCTAGGAGACCGATCACCCGTTGAGGCGTACCACCATCAAGGCTCCATAAACATACAAAGCAAGCCAATTTCTTTTTTTATTGCTAGCGTGTGCTTTCAAGTGCTATCAAGTTGAACCTGTCAATATGTAAATAAACAGAGTTATACGAGACTCCCTGGTCCTTCCCGGTTCCTGCATCCCGATGAGGTTCTGCCCTGGCTCGGCTCCTTGCTGTAACCAAAGTCCCGGACAACCACTTGGTCGCGACGAAGCGAACTCAAATGTTTATGTTTATCAGTTCTTGATTTAAGAACACAGAGAAGGCAGAATAAAGCAAAACAGAGTTTGTGATGACCTTCTTTTTCATTCGCTTTATTTGTGCGTGTGCTCGGAGCTCCTAATGATCAGAAAGAATGAATCGTTCCGCTACCAGGATATATGAAGCGTTCGAGACGGCACCCCCGAGCGTACATCCGAACAGCCCCACAATTCACCTCGTTGCAAGTTCTACTAGGATTTTCCGGAAAGGTCTACTTCCGTCACTATTCTGAATGGTCGTGAACAGTAGCCGGCAATCTAACATTCAAGCCGTATTATTTTTCATTTATTTTTTAACAGCGGTAGCCGTTTGTGTTCTTTTTTTCTTTTTTTGTCAAAAAAATGTTAATGTACGAAGGCAAAACCCGATTCTGCAGCAGAGGCACTGCTCTCCCTCTCCCCGGCGTTCGTCACATGTACACGCCAACTGCGGCAAAGCTCTCTCTCCTCCGCACGGCCACTTTTAAAGTCCCGCGGGGCACAGGACGTCATCATTTGGTATTGACCGCGTCACGACCAAATCAGCAAAATTTACACGCAAAAAAAAAAAAAAAAGCCCTGTGCAATTTTTTCATTGCAGAGGAGATATAATTTCTCGATCTTTATACTAAAATAAATCTGGAGCGCCTACTTTTCTGCAAAACACTCGAGAGATCCCATCGCTGCAATCTGAGGAGAAAGCTGGGCGAACGACGAGGCTGAGCATGTGCTTAGACACAAAGAAACAGTCTTCGCTGTGGAACTCATCGGCTCTCCCAACTTCCAAGTGCTTTGCGGGAAACTAGGCACTCCAGATTCTTTAGTGTTCATTATATCTGCTAGTGTACGTTGTAGTTCCTAAGATCGGAGCTCAATATTATTTTGAGGTCTTTGTAGTGTCAGTGCAGGAATGTAGACTACTGTGGTTTTATCACTCGCTTTTCTATATCACATTCATCAGTTGAATAAACGGTCCAATTGGTCTCGATTAGTCTTATCTACATAACTTTTTTTTTTCTTCTGCGCTAATTTTCCTGTTTGATTTCTTTCCCCTTTCTGCAATTCGATCTATAAAATGTAAGTCTCTTTGTTTATCGTTAAATACCCACGGATACAAACTAATGTAAGCTATGTCTATGAGGAGAGCAAGTCGTCTGCTTCCTTGGTCAGGAGTGGCGGTGACGTCAGAACGACGCCGAGTTCTTATTGGCTGATTGAAAAAAAAAAATAGTGTGTAGACCTCAATGCTGGATGCCTTGGGGTCTACCCACTATTTTTTTCAACCAGCCAATGAGAGCTCGACGTCGTTCTGACGTCAGCACCACTCCTGACCAAGGAAGCAGACGACTTGCTCTTTCGCAGGGTGCGTGGTAGAGACGACCAATCGCGGAGAATGATAGAAGGATTTCATCGAACGACGAAGCTCAGTATACCCGATTAGATATTAAAACAACGATTCGCGCGCACAGACGACGAGCACGACGCTTCACTCGCTCACTCTCAAAAAAAAAAAAAATATATATATATATATTCTACTGCGGTTTTTCAAAAGGTTAAAATGCCGCGTAAATAAAAACTCCACTTCCTTTTCACATAAAAAAAAAAAAATCTTTTGATTTTTTGTTGTTGTCTTTTGCCACCATTGGCGTTCCTTCCGGCTCTGGCAGCCCAAGCCTGCGCTGGCTTTCCAGCAGGAAGCTGTCACCGGCCGACCTTCCGCAACCCAGGCAGAGGCACCCTCGATTTCTCGTCGGGTCGACGAGGGCCCCCCCGGGGCAGGCAGGCCGTCGAATTCTGAGCCCGTCCTCGACCGAAAGCGCTGCAGTCCGCGCGGAGCGACCGGTACGACGTCCTTCGTCGGACCCCTGCGTCAGCGGGTAACCGCTGGCGACGTTCCTTAGCTCGTGGCGGTCATTTCGATGACAAAGGTGCTTCTTTAACGTGAAATAAGTGTATACGGAAATGTAAAGGTTTTTATTTCATTTTTTGAGTAACTTTTACGAGGAAGTTTGTTCGTGGTATCAGGAAAGCTGCCAGTCCGAATTGTCAAACTTGCAACACTCTGAATACCATAGAACAGATCTTCATGGCACGTATACTCTTCACGCCTCCAAGAAAAGGGCACTCGAGATGACACTCTAGAATAGATAATAGACCAATTATCGTTGAGAAATTGCTCGACGGCTGAGGGTTAATTCGATGCTCCGTTAAGACAACCATAACCTCAATTTTCTTTTCTTTCTGTTTTCTCATTTTCGAGACAAGGGGTTGGCACCGACCCTCTAAAGTATGCCATAACGTCCCTCACTTCATCGCCGTTCATATTCTCTTCCTCATATCTAATTTTATGTTGTCGCATTTTTACTCCCCCCCCCCCCCTCCCTATCCCCCTTTCCACAGTCACTGCTAGAAACGCCAGGCGTTTGTGTGCGTCATAGACGTGAGTGAAGGAACCCAGTAGCAATCTCGACGTATTTGTTCTGGTCAACATCGTGAAGTGTGTGTGTGACATTGGCACCCGCGGAAACGCGAATACTTTTATCACCCGTGTTGGGGGGCAGAGAGACGCTGCCCGAGCTCCGAGGGGCCGAGGGTCCCTAACAATAGAGTCGCCGGGGGCGCCGGGCAAGGGGACGCTGAGCCAAAGAGGCCCGACTTTCCAATTATCCAGCGCCGTATCCTCAACTTCGAGAGGCAGTGACCACAGATTTCAATTTTGACGGGCCGCGGCGTGATTCAAAGAAGAAGGAATTTTGGGGGTGGTGCTTCGGTTCGGATATTATGACGCCCTATATCCAGACTCGAGATTTTTTTTCCTTCTGGGTGTAACAT